AGGGTGCAGGGGAGCCACTACAAATCTCACCATAGCTCCCTCCCTGTGCTGCCGTCATGTGCCCGGTGCAGCCCTGGCTCTTCCCGGCTTATGCGCTGGGAAGAGTTGGGGCTGCAATGGGTGCGTGGTGGTGCCAGAAGGCAGCACGGTGAAATTTGTGGTGGCTGTAGCCTTCTCCATAGCCCCCGCCCTGAGCCCAGTCCCTAGCGGGAAGAGCCTGGCACAGCCGCGGCTCCAGGCCACAGCTGCATCCCACCCACCCCACCCTCGCAGATCCGGGAGGTATATGCCCCGCCATGCTCTCCCAGGGTGTAGGGAGCTGTTCCTCTCCCCACCACCAATAAGCTGTGGGTCTGTCCTGTGCCCTGCCTTAGTTAGGCAGGCTCTCCCCCCCCCCGCAATCCCTTCCCTTCACCCTTCCCTTCCACCACAATGGACTTATCCGTTGGAGGCAGTTTTCCATGCTGTGGCTGAGTGCACGCAGATGCATTTATCGGCCCCATTGGATAAATTTCCAATACAGCCAACTTTCTTTATATTGGTACCAATCCGATATCGGACTGATGTATCAGTGCATCTCTGTGAACAACTTTTTCATCCCTGGGCTGATTCTTTTAAAACTGGGCTGAGATACATTGGTGAGGGAGTGTTTATTCCAGGGGCAGGCAGTTATTTTGTCTTGAGGGCTGCTTAATGAGTTTTAGTGAGCTGTCGAGGGCTGTATGGGTAACCCTATCCCTTGACAGTTGCCCTGACCCCTGGTTGCCATATTGGGACCAGAAGTCCTCTGTCTCCTAACCCCTGACCTTTGGCACCAGAAGTCCCTCCCCTCGCCCCCCAGAAATACTCCTGGGGGGGGAGTTGCCATCTTAGAACCAGAAAAATACCCAAATTATACACTGCAAGTCAGATACCTACTAAAACATATTTTAATTTTATTACAAAGAATGTGTCATGATTTGTGTTTATGTACTGTATATAGAAGGGATTGCATAATAACTCAAAAATAGTCTTACTCTTTTATATTGTATAAGGGTGTGTGTGTGTGTGTGTGCGGGGCATAGGGTATGGTGGAGTATAAATTGTTTGGGCTTCTGGGGGCAGGGTGTGCATATGTGAGGTTTGTGGGGTGTGGGCCCCCCTTCTACTCCCTCACATTCACATGATGAGAACTCCCTGCTGCTGGCAACAGCAGCAGGTGGGGGGCTGAGGGTACTTATGCCTGGTGCAGGCACTGGCAGGGCATATCTCCAGCCAGCGCTGCATGGGGGTGAGGAGCGCATTCTGCCTACCCACCTCTATCATTGGGCCTCCGTGCTGCGTGCCTGCACCTCCCGTACTCGCACAGGGGAAGTCCTTTGCTGGACTCTGCAGGGAAGCAGGGAGTGAGGCTGCCTCCATTCCCAATGGAGTCCAGGAACTGGTGCAGCAGGGAGTGGGTAAGGCAGCTGGCTCCAGTGCGGGGCTTCCCCCAGTGTGGGCTGCAGGCATGCTGCAGTAGAGGGGCATCAGGAGCCAGCTGGGAACCACAGGGCCGGGCTGGTTCCTGCTGTGTTCTGTGGTCCCGGCATTATAGCCAGGAACCAAATGGTGTGATATGCAGCCAGCCTGCCTGGCTGGGCACCTCCTGGCAGCACACTGTTCCCGGCTGCAATACTGGAACCCCAGAATGCAGCAGGAGCTAGCCTGGCCCCATGGCTCCCAGCTGGCTCCTGCTGCTGCTGGCCCTGACCCCCGGGGCCCCGTGCTCCTGCCTGCTGCCACTTCCCGCCTCCTGCCATCCTCCTCCATGCCTTCCATCACTGCCTTTTCTTGGCTGTTTTCTTTCCTTCCCCACCCGCCGCCCGGGCCAGGATCACACAGCATGGCAAGAGCCAGCCTGGCCCAGCTGGTACCATGTGGTTGCCATCTGGGAACTGCATGGTACCAGATTGATTCAGCTGGCTCCTGCTGTACCTGTGATCCTCCCCTCCCCCAAACTGTTCTTACCCGTGTTTCCTTCTCCAGTGGAGGGAGGCAGGGAACAGCCCCAGGGTCCCAGGCCAGAAGCTTCTGCTAAGGCAGAAGCTTCCGGCTGTGGCTGGGAGTGGGGCGGGGCCTTGCTGCTGCCGCTGCTGGGTCCTATCGCTGTTTTCTCCTGGGTCCTGCTGCCATTGGCTCCTGTCATCTTTAACAGGAAGTCAGGGGCAGATGAATATTAATTTTTAAAATTTTTTAGGGGCCCTGTGGGCCAGATAGAAGGGTTGGCTGTGGCTCACAGGCCATATTTTGCCCACCCCTAGTTTATTCTCACTACCAATCCTGTATGTCATCAGTAGATGAACAGAAGTTTTACCCATTTCAGAAGAGTTTATCTATCTTTACCTCAAGAACTCGGAAGAATTTATCTTCTGAGGCCCTAGATCTGTCTTAAGGAAAATTCCCTTGGTTTAGAAATGAAGGAAGATAGACACATACTGTCTTAGAGTATCCTTCTGTAAGGAAAAATGTGACAGGGATATGATATGGTTAGATTTGTGGTGCAGTGCACTACAGATATTCTGAACAACACAACTTTCGTAAACAACTGGGATCAGGCTTCGGTGTAAATTACATTTGGGGCTGTTTGGGTGTCCAGAGCAGCCCCAAACTGGGAAGACACAAAGGTACTTTAAAGTTTATGTTTATACTCCCTTCCCTCAGGTAAGACATGCAACACAGGATCTCTTTCTGGTGCTCAATATTTAAAATGATCGAATATTTTAAAAATATACATTTAATTTATAATATTTCCTGTGTGTTTTTTTTCTTACTATAGGTTTGTGATCACTGAATCTAAAACAAAAAATAAGTGAGAAATGTAATAATTTGATATGTCCAGATGTTTTATATTTTTCATGATACTTACAAAAAAAATCTCTTCTTTAGTTCCTGGAAATCAGCAAGACCTTTCTTCAGTAAAAAGTGAAGATTTTGGAAATGTACAGGAAATGTCTACGAAGACTCTCATTGTGGGTCCACTTAATCTTCGTTTGGATAGCAGTGCAGTGCATCGTATTATGAAAATGGTAGTTTGTGCTCTGGAACATGAATATGAGCCGTACAGCAAGGCTAAATCAGGTATACTGCCTAACTTAATTCTTAACATTTTTATTACAGACTATAGACCAGATGCAGCACTTCTGACAGCAGAGGAAAAAATCCTGCTTGTAGGTTACCACAAGGGCCTCAGTATATCCCCTGGCATCCCTAGCTATGCCTGTGTATGAACAGCATGGACCACTTTTAGAGCTGTGGTGTTACATTTTAAGCCCCCCTGCTAAGTGTGAATTCCTCGAGTCTCCAAGAAGAAAGGAAGCCACTAGTATAGGTTTATGAGTTAAGAAATTAGAGTTTAAATGAACAACAAAAAAATGATTCAGAAGTAATTATAGTCAGCTAATAAGACTAACACCCTATGTAAGTCATAGAAAAAGAGAGAGATCTCTCATTTCACAAATGTGCATTTCAAAGTGATAGAAATAATTAATTATGATTATATTTGGTTTTAGGTAGAGCCTAAAGGAGAAGAATTAACACTCCTAAACATTGAGAGACAACTAAAATATATATATATATATATATATATATA